CATCATATACTTCCCATGGGCTTGGTGGTTTGATTCTAAGGTTAATGAAATCAGTGCAGATTTGGGCCCATCTTGATCTCTTTGAACCCACTCTCAGCTGACTCAGTTCAGCAGCAGTTTGGATGGAAAGAAGGCCAACCAGCCAGGGAAAGAAAGGAGAAATTTGGAGGTGGCTTTAGGTTTCACAAATGAGTCCTTTACTTTCCTCAAAACGATTAACTTCACGGGGGAGTAACAATTTTTTTTTTTTTTAAAAACAACAAAAACAAAAAAATTAAATTTGCTCATAATCCCATTGCTTCAAAAAAAATTGTGTCAAGAGGAAAGTTTCTCCCTCCACCTATTTGATTCTATTCTTCAAAATAAACCACTGTTAACAACCTGTTGCACATTCTTCCCAGTTCGTTACTGGGTTTATGCAAATATATATAAGTGTACGTATATCCAAAATGCCAGACACATTGACCAATATCTTGCTTATTTTCCTTTATATTCATGAACATTTTCTAGTCATTAACTATAGATCTTACACATTATTTTTATTGGCTGCATAGTATTCCACTGCATGGATATATTATATGTCATTCTCCCATTGATAGGCATTTAGGTTGTTTACAACAATCTTGAGAACAATGCAGCAACACACATTCTTATTTATATGTTTTTATGTATCTGTTTTATTATTTCTTGCAGGATGGGTTCGGAAGAGTGGAACTGTTTTTACTCCTGGGACTGGCACACCAGAGTGTATGAGAAGGCCCCATCCTCCAAGCCCCAGCCTTGTCAACATTTTGGCCAGTCTGCTACATACCAAAATGTTAATGTCTTTGAGATTTAATTTGCATTTCCTTGACTACTGGTGAAGTTAAGTATCTTTTCATGTTTTTTTTCCTTCTATTTGTAGAAGCTCTTTATATACATGAGATGTAATGTTTGCCTCTTATAGGTGGGGCAAGTATTTCCTATCACTCTGCTGTTGGCATCTTTTGACTTTGTTTACGGTGTGTTTTAACTATACGTTTTCATTTTTATTGCAGTCAAATACGTTAAATATTTTCTTCCTTCTTTCTAGACTATCTATCTTAAAAAGAACTCCAGTCTGTATTTCCCTCTTGTACTTACATAGTCTTACTTTTTCCATTTGAATCTTAGATACAGACTGCCCGCCCCTCTCCCCCACCCCCGCTTTATTTTTGCATTTGAGTAAGGCAAGGAGCTAGCTTTACTTTTTTCCACTTGAAGAGTCAATTGTTTCCAGAGAGTCAACTGAATTTTAAATTATTTAATCAGTAAAAATTTACATGTTTCAGGAGAGAAGTATGTAGGGACCCAGTGGTCCCTGAGGCTGCACCCAGCAGATCTTTAACTCATGATCTGGAATAAACATATAGAGCTTGCTGCTCTCCAAGTCAGTCATGGGTTGGGCCCTTCTGAATGTGCCTATGTGTGTTATTTGTTTGGGTGTGTGTATGTGTTTTAGTAAAGAAGGGATTGAAAAACTCAAATGGTCTCCTCCTTAAAAAATCACCTCATTTATAAACTAAATCCAGTGTATAACCCTACCCTATATCAGTTCGTCATTAAATTGAAGTGTCCCTCTTAGAAATGTATCTCCCTCTCTGGTCCGTGGTGAGCTCCTTGAGGCTCTGCCCTAACTCACCTCAGTTCTGAACCTATCCAGGGGCTCAGGACACAGTAGATGGATACTTGTCTTGGTCTATCTTGTGTTGCTGTAACAGAATATCACAGGCTGCATAATTTATTTCTCAAATTTCTAGAGGCTGAGAAGTCCAATAGTAAGGTGCTAGCATTTCGTGGGGGCCTTGGTGCTGCATCATCCCATGGCTGGAGGAGTAAGAGCATGAGAGAGCAAGGACTCAAACTTCCAGCTTCAAACACTTTTATTATTGTCATGAATCCATTCATGAGGTTGGAGCCCTTAAGACCTAAACAGCTCCCATTAGGTCCTGCCTCCCAACACTGTTTCATGGGGGATTAAATTTCCAACACGTGCTTTTTTGGGGGGACACATCGAAACCATAGCTGTATTGAACAAAACCTTGGCTTTGAAGCCATCTAAAGATTTGTTTTGTGTGTGTTCACATAATCTGAGTGTTTCAACACTTTTAAGAAGGATTTTCAGGCTTCTCTACAAGCAGACTAAGAACCAGCATTAGCACGTTTTCTCCATGTACAAAGTCTTTTATCTTTCCTCTTGCAAATGAAGGTAACCAATAAATATTTGTTGAATTTTATCATTTGGTTAACCTTCAGATTCAGACTTGTCGGTAATTATTGGCTTGCATTAAAAGCAGGAGATTAGAGATTGAGGTCCAGGAAGGATAACTGATTTGCTCAGACGCATGTAGAGTAACCAGTTCTCCTGTCCCCTGTCCACTTTTTCTGTTATACCTTGTCTCTCAACAAAGGGAAATGGCCCGGTGACAGCCAGAGGACCAGGATAGGACTTTGAAAGGGAACAGCTGGGCCCATCTTGGACGATTTTCACAGTCCAGCCATGAAGATCTGGAGGCCTTAGAAGAACCGATTCAGTGATCTTTGTCTTGAACACATCATCAAGCACTTACTACAAAGAGGCACTGCAAAGGCACTGCAAAGAGGCCGTGCCCTGAGGATCCTCTCTGGAGCAAAACAGACCCAGCCTCTCCTCCTGGAGCTCACAGGTTAGGGAGGGAGACTGAGCCTGTCTTCCACAGTGTCACAGGAAGCAGATATTAAACAGACACCCCCAAGCAGAGATAATTACAAATGGAGGCAAGTGCTCTGCAGGAAAAGCCAGGATTCTTGGAAAGAATAAAGCAGGAGGGCTCGGATTAGATTAGGGGGTTAGGGAAAAGTAGAAGTGGGGGTGTTAAAGGCTTTTGCAAAGGTGAAGTGTTTTACATATGTGTGGGAAATAACAATAATAAAGGTTCTTGGAAGCGCAGCTCATCCTCATTCATGGGCCGCTTCCTAGAACTCTGGGAATCTGTTTCTCTGCCCAGAATTATGTAGGCATCCGGGTCAGGGGTCAGGGCTGGAGAGGCCTTCACAAATGCTAATCCATGAGCGTTTTATGGGTTTCCCCCTGACCTTTTGCACCCCTATCCTTAACTAATTCCAATGCTGAGGTGAATGGGGGAGCATTTCCAATTTGGAGGGAAAGGGGGAGGTGGGGAAGCCTTCCCACTCATTGGGGAGTGGGGCCAGGGTCCCCTCCCCCAAACAAGCCTCAGGAATGTTTTTCAAGGCAAAATCCCACCTCACTGTGTATTGGTTGTGAAGGGGGCTGCCCAGGAGACCCGGGTTGTTCCTGGGGCGTTTTGGAGGCAGGGGCAATAATGTCTGACCCCACCCCTCCAAACACATCCTTAAGCAAGCTTGACCGGAGTGAAGTGAGGATTCCACAGTGGTGGTGGGATGGGAGACGGCAAATGCTACCGCTCGACGGGGGCGTTAACTTGCTGGGAAGAATCTATCATGCTCTGGCCATAATAATTATAGCTGACACTTACTATGGGCTGGGAACTCTTCTAAGCGCTTTCATAACTCTTATTTCTGAAAACAACTAATTCCATTTCACAGTTGAAACTGAGGCACAAAGAGCCTACGTAAGTAGTGATAGCAGCTTTCCTTTTTGCCTGCAACAATTTGGGCTCTTGAGCAGAGGTTTGATCTCCAGGTGTGGACAGCAGTTCCTGCTATGTGCGTCGGATCTGCCTGCCCATAATTCAGAAGGATACTGGCTTCGAAAGGTTAATTTAGGAGCGGTGAGTACGGCTGCAGCGGACGCACGCCCATTCCCCCGGGACCTGAGCCAGACCGCCCTCCTCCGCGCCCCCTGCAGTGGTGAGGACCCATTGACGGTCCCGCGAGGCTGCGGGAGAGCCGCGGAGTGGCCCCACCCCGCGTCCGCGCCAGGACCCGGCTGCTCCGCTTTCTGCTGGGTCTCCGCGAGGTGTCGCCTTCGGCCGAAGAAACCACCGTGGCGCCACCCTCGTAGCCCGCACTTATTTATTTATTTTCAAACAAGGGGGGCGCCCTCTCCTTTTTTCATTTTGAAACTAGAAACATCCATCAGTCTGGTTCCTAAATGGACGCGTCCTCTCCCTGCCATTTTGCGCCCTCAGTCTAGCCTTCCTTCGGGATTACAAACGAGCAACCCCTTTGCACCGCCTTGCACGACGTTGGCCTCGCGCTCAGCTGCGCACGAACGCTGTCAAGGCGGGGGCTGGGTTGGAAGCCTCGGTCTCCCCTCCCCCGGAGCCCTCCGGACATTTTTTTTTAATGCCAAGCAATTGCCAGGCCCCGCAGGGTGGGCGCTGCATTGCACCGCTCGGCGCGCAGCTGGTTCACAGAGTGCACCCGGTGCAAGCCCGGGGGTCCAAAAGGGCGGGAGAAGCACACCCCGGGCTTCCCAGCTTTGCAGGCTCCTCTCTGCAAAGAAAAGCAAGTGGCTTTTGGCGCGAAAGCCTTGGCGCCTCCCCTGATTTTTATGGAAATCAAGAGGGCGGAGTAAAGCCGTTTTCCTCTGCCTTTCTCCCAGCCCCTCGTCTGCGCCACAGCCCCCTCCTCTCCCCGCCCCCCGGGTGTGTCAGATTTTTCAGTTAATAATATCCCCCGAGCTTCAAAGCACAGCCTGTGACAGTCATCTGTCTGGACGCGCTGGGTGGATGCGGGGGGCTCCTGGGAACTGGGTTGGAGCCCAGCGAGCGCTAGCCAGGCGCAAGCGCGCACAGACTGCAGCCACCCGAGGCCCCCCCGCCCCCCGGCCCACCCGGAGACACCCGAGTAGAATCGCCTCTGGATCCCTGGCAGTCGGCGGGAGGTAAGGAGAGGGGTTGCAAACCGCCGGGCGCCCCGGGAGCGGCGAGCGCCGGCGGCAAGGCAAGCCCTGGACGGGATCGCCACTCGCGCACCGGGGCGCCGGAATATGCCCGGGGGACTTTCTGCTTCCGAAATAAAACCATCTCAGGGTTTTCCCTGAAACGCCAGTTCCAGCCCCGAAGGCACCCGAGCTAGAAGAGACCCGCCCTAATCCTTCTGCAGCCCTTGCCAGGGGGTAGTAATGGCTTCTGAGAAAAGAAATTCCCCCTGCTCTAGAAGATTTGTCTGTTTGAGCTGACGGAGAGCCGGTGCGTCCCTACCGTAAGCTGGGGTTCTTCTCCAAAGGGTGTCCCCGGAGGAAGAAGAAGGGTTAGGCGGGGCGAGGCCGCAGCGGTGGTAATCTGGGTCACTGCTACTCCAGCTCGGAGGAGACGCGGCTTCTGCCTGAGACCCTCCCCGCGCGGGCGCCCCTGCACCATTCCTGGGAACCGGGGCTCAGCCTCCCCCTTCCCTTGGAAGAGGACGCTGTTGGGGGTTCGGAAGAGTGGGGGTGGGGTTAGAAGAGGTTCCAAATAAGCTATTGGCAGGAGTATCCCTGCAGCGGTTGAATATAGAGGGACGTCTGCTCACATTTTGTGGGGGCGATTTGTGGATTTGGGTGCCTGTTGTTGGTCTCTGCCTAGAGAAAGGCTTTTTCCGTTTGCAAAGTTTTCTAAATCCCCTGCTATCCTTTGCTCTCCCGAGGTTGCATTTTTACAAAGGGGGGATTGAGGGTACTCGGAATCCCGTACCCGGTAGCTGGGTCGGAGAGCCCTGGGCTTCCTCCGAGCAGCTGGCCCCACACTGGTGCAAGTGGGGTCGTCGGCGTGCTGCTGGAGAGAGCTGGGATTCTGCAGCCTCGAACAGCCCCCTCCCCCAGCCAGAGCCTTGTGTGAATGAAATGGCAGTTTCCAAAGTTGCCGAGCCACGCTACCACCCCCTGCATCTGCATGCCCCCTCCCACCCCCTGTCGTAGACTGCTTGTACACAAAAGGAGGGAGGGAGAGAGGGAGCGAGAGCCAGAACTTCCTTCACCTTCGGGAGCACTGGGCGGAGTGGGGAGCTTGGAGGGGAGATTGGGGGACGGGGCTGGAGGGGGCGCCCGCTGCCTGTCCCCGCCGTCTGCTTCGCTTGCCCACCCTCTCCCGGTGTGTCTGTCGGTTGCAGTGTTGGAGGTTGACGCGGGCCCCCGCCTTCCGCGCCCCCCACGGGAAGGAAGCGCCCCCCGTATTAAAACGAGCGGAGCGGAAAGAAGTCTGCAGTCGCCTGCCGGGAGGCGAGCCGATGCCGAGCTGCTCCGCGTCCACCATGCCGGGGATGATCTGCAAGAACCCAGACCTCGAGTTTGACTCTCTGCAGCCCTGCTTCTACCCGGACGAAGATGACTTCTACTTCGGCGGCCCCGACTCGACCCCCCCAGGGGAGGACATCTGGAAGAAGTTTGAGCTGCTGCCCACGCCCCCGCTGTCGCCCAGCCGTGGCTTCACGGAGCCCAGCCCGCAGTCCTCGTACTGGGCTACCGAGATGTTGCTGACCGAGCACGACGTGTGGGGCAGCCCGGCCGAGGAGGACGCATTCGGCTTGGGGGGACTGGGCGGCTTCACCCAGAACCCGGTCATCCTCCAGGACTGCATGTGGAGCGGCTTCTCAGCCCGCGAGAAGCTGGAGCGCGCCGTGAGCGAGAAGCTGCAGCACGGCCGTGGGTCCTCGGCCGCCGGCTCCGCCGCCCCGGCCCCGGGAACGGGCGCCGCCAGCCCTGCCGGTCGCGGGCACGGCGGGGCTGCGGGAGCCGGCCGCGCCGGGGCCGCCCTGCCCGCCGAGCTGGCCCACCCGGCAGCCGAGTGCGTGGATCCCGCCGTGGTCTTCCCCTTCCCGGTCAACAAGCGGGAGCCGGCGCCCGCGCCCTCCGCCCCGGCCAGTGCCCCGGCGGCGGGCGCTGCGGTCGCTTCGGGGGCGAGTGCGGCCGCTCCAGCCGGAGCCCCGGTGGCCGCCCCTCCGCGCGCAGGCGGCCGCCCGGCCAGCGGCGGCGACCACAAGGCCCTCAGCACCTCCGGAGAGGACACTTTGAGCGACTCAGGTAAAGACCGAGCCCGGCCCCGGCTGCCTCCCTGGGGTACTGGACTCCGGGGGTCTCCGTCCCCTTTGTTAGTGTTCGCGTCTTGGCTTTAGAGAGCATTTTGGACGCAGCGCTGGTGCAGAGAGGTCCTGTTTTCTCCAAGTCTGTCCCCGGGGTAAAGAGGAGAGGCTGAGTGAAAGCTGCTGCAAAGCGGCTGCTCCCCCAAGTCACACCTTCCCTGAAGTTGCTTCCACCCTCTCCTGGGAGCCTTCCTCTGGGCCATCACCGGCCCGCACCCCGTCCCCGACCTCTCTTTTGCCGTGTTGTGCGAGGAATGAAATTGGGAAAAGTTGGTGGCGAAAGTGGGTAGAAGGTTAGGAGGCTGCTGGGTGCATTGCTTGGACAGAAACCTGTTAGCGCCGGGGCGGAAAGGGACTCTCTGTCCCAGGGCAAGTTTGGGGAAAGGCATCCCAAGAAGACACAACAAGGGTTGTGCAAAATCCTATTTAGAGCAGAGGAAGTTTGAGGGAGATTGCACAGAAGGCTAGTGCGGGTTTTCTTTCTTTTTTGTTTTTTCCCATACTTAGCTACCTCCCCCCATCCTCGGTGGGTGGTGGGCTATTTGCTCCTGGTGCGTGGCCAGCAGGCGGCGACATGCGTGGACAGTAAAAGGGCCAAGGATCTCATAGGCTGAGGGTGGTGGAGGTCCCCCTCCCTCCCTCCCTTCAGCAGCTGGCGGCAAGTGCAACAGCAGTTGTGTACATTCTCTAGGGGCCTTCTCTTTCCAGGGTGCAGTGAAAACAGGGTCCAGTTTTGTCTTCTAGCGCGAATTCCAGGGCTAATTTGAGATCCCAGTTGTGTTCTGTATCCTAGTGCCTTTGAAGGTGAAGGTGGGCACTTAGCAGCCTCTCAAGGAATGCACGCATATTGATTAGTTCTATTGTGTGCATTTGTTTGCATCTTTAGCTGAAGGGAAGGGTTAAAACCAAGCCTTTGCCTGGGGCTCTGGAGGTACGACCTCTACCCAAACACTGGAATAGCCCTTGTCCTTGTAGCAGGCAGCTGGGGCCCCCTTGGACCTTGAAAACCAGTGTTTTCAGAATGCCAGTAGATAAAAATCCTAAATTTCCTTTGGGGCTGAGGACAGATCTTTCTGAGGCTCCTGGAAGGAAACTTGGTGATAAGCCTCTAGTTTGAAACGGCTCTGTCCCTTTAATGTCTGTGCCTTGACAGCTTTCGGTGAGGAAGCACTTCCTTCCAACAGCTGTCTTCTTGGCAGAAAACCAAAACATTGGCTTAAAGGGACCCACAGACTGGAACAGCCTCACATTTCGGCTTTAGAACAAATCCCACAATTGTTCAGCTTTCCGGTCCCCTTCAGATCAAACAGAAGATGTGTTTTGATTTTCATGCTTGCATTTTAAACAATAATTTTCTACTCCAGTGTGGTAGTCCATGAAGAGAGGGGAAAAATGCACGCATGATGCTACATGTTTTTGTTGTTGCTGTTATTATTGGTGACTTGGAGAGGAGAGCTGCTCCCATTTGGGGGTTTATACCGACTATGGATCTTAGCTTTGTAGTTAAGATTTGACGGTTGTTAGATAAAAAACTGCTTACTGTATAAGACTCAGGTTGGTGGAAGAAAAGGGACTTTTTTCCCCTCAATTAATTAAATTATTCCTCAAGTTTGTTGAAGGACTTAAAATCAAACACAACCATATGTAAATTGCTAAATGAGGCTCCTAAAATGAGGAGCCTCAATTCTTAAGTGTGGAGATAGAAATGTAAATAATCTACAGGGCAGACTGGTGATTATGGTAACAGCTACCATTTACTGAGCTGCTAGGCACTGCTGTATGTTCAGTCTACATATTATCTATCAAAGTGGTATTAATATTATCGCTGTTTAATAGCTGAGGAAACTGAGGCATAGAAAGGTTGAATAACTTGCCCAGGGTCATGCAACTAGTCTGCCATACAGCCAGGATTCTTTCTGTCTGACCCCAAAGCCCAGGTTCTTTCTATTCTACCACCTGCTAAAGTCGAGTGGAGACTGAAAGCTTAGCAGGAGTATGGGGAAGGACAGAGTATTTCCAGATATATTTAATTTAAAGAGATCTGAAACAAATACATTTCTGTCTACATCTGCATTGATGGACCCATCGCAATAGCAAGCTGTGTCAGGGCCTGCTGGAAGAGACATAGCCATGTTAACATGGATAGATTTCGTGACTTTCATTCTCATGTGTCTCACATGAGAGTAACTCCCATCTTTTGCTCACAGATGATGAAGATGACGAAGAGGAAGACGAAGAGGAGGAAATTGATGTGGTCACTGTGGAGAAGCGGCGCTCCTCCTCCAACAGCAAGGCTGTCACCACATTCACCATCACCATGCGTCCCAAGAATGCACTGGGCCCCGGGAGGGCTCAGTCCAGCGAGCTGATCCTGAAACGATGCCTCCCCATCCACCAGCAGCACAACTATGCCGCCCCCTCTCCCTATGTGGAGAGCGAGGAGGCACCGCCCCAAAAGAAAATTAAGAGCGAGGTGTCCCCACGTCCCCTCAAGAGCATCATCCCCCCAAAGGCTAAGAGCTTGAGCCCCCGCAACTCTGACTCGGAGGACAGCGAGCGTCGCCGCAACCACAACATCCTGGAGCGCCAGCGCCGCAACGACCTGCGGTCCAGCTTCCTCACGCTCAGGGACCACGTGCCGGAGCTGGTGAAGAACGAGAAGGCCGCCAAGGTGGTCATTTTGAAAAAGGCCACCGAGTATGTCCACTCCCTTCAGGCCGAAGAGCAGCAGCTTTTGCAGGAAAAGGAAAAATTGCAGGCGAGACAGCAGCAGTTGCTCAAGAAAATTGAACACGCTCGGACTTGCTAAACGCTTCTCAAAACTGGACAGTCACTGCCACTTTGCACATTTTGATTTTTTTTTTTTTTTAAACAAACATTGTGTTGACATTAAGAATGTTGGTTTACTTTCAGATCGATCCCCTGTCGAGTTTGGCCCTGGGTGGGGAGCAGGACCACCCGAGTGGGGTTCTGGCAGGACCTCGGAGAGCCTGCGTCTCGGGATGCTGGTGGCCCTGCGGCCTCCTCCACCTCGCCTCCGGGACAGCGGTGGGAGTTCATGACAGTTGGGAGCCTCTGGGGCTGTTGAAGTCACCTTGTTTGTTCCAAGTTATAAACCACAGAAAGTCATTCCTTCTTTTTAAAATGGTGCTTACGTTCCAGCAGATGCCACGTAAGGGGGTTGCCACTGGACACCCCTGGGGAACATTTCTGTAAATACCATTGACACACCCGCCTTTTGTATGCGTCCTGGGTCATGAGAGGTGGCTTTTGCGGCCAGTATTAGACTGGAAGTTCATACCTAAGTACTGTAATAATACCTCAATGTTTGAGGAGCATGTTTTGTATACAAATATATTGTTAATCTCTGTTATGTACTGTACTAATTCTTACACTGCCTGTATACTTTAGTATGATGCTGATACATAACTAAATTTGATACTTATATTTTCGTATGAAAATGAGTTGTGAAAGTTTTGAGTAGATATTACTTTATCACTTTTTGAACTAAGAAACTTTTGTAAAGAAATTTACTATATATATATGCCTTTTTCCTAGCCTGTTTCTTCCTGTTAATGTATTTGTTCATGTTTGGTGCATAGAACTGGGTAAATGCAAAGTTCTGTGTTTAATTTCTTCAAAATGTATATATTTAGTGCTGCATCTTATAGCACTTTGAAATACCTCATGTTTATGAAAATAAATAGCAATTAAATGATGCAACTCAACTTTTTCCTTAATAGCACTAAACTATTCCTTAAGCAGCAACCATAAATAATCCATAACATAGAGAAAATTAGTTCCCACAGTTAGCCCTTCTATATCTGTGCGGTCCTTTTATGTCTATACAATCTGGGTTGGGGGGATGGGTTGCATTTGGGTGGAAGAGACTGAGTTTGGGGAGGTTAAGAATAATTCTCCGGCATTACACAGAAGAGAGACGTTATTAACGACTCTTTGCATTGTGTAATAACAATAGCGCTCAATAGTTTACAAAACACTTTTATATATGTTGGCCCTTCAGTGAAATTAAGCTGGAACATCATCAGATCAACCCTTTGGAATGAGAAGTAAAATCAGACATAGGGTGTTTAACTTGTCTGTTTTTGGCATTGTTAGTATTTATCCCATTGGCAGAAAGTTTTATATTTTGGTGGAGAGCATAGTTTGTCTCCAAGGAGAATTCATTCTTAAAAATTTACTAGGACTAGCGCAAGATTCAAGGCTAAGCATCATAGCAGGATAAAAAGATGAAAGTTGGTCCCTCCCTTCAATGAACTCACAGCATGATTTACCCAGTTGTAACTCATGAAGTGACAGCCATGTAGCCCAGATCAAGTGCCAGGTGCAAGAGAGACCCTGGCGTCACACTGAAACCCCGTATGGGTAGTATAGCTTTCTCTACTAGCCATTCCTATCACACAGGGCAGCATTTTGATTGCTGGGGTTGCCCTGTGCAAACACCACTTACCTTTGCAGGCTCTGGAAGACAAAGCCAGGACCAATGGATTGGAGGGAGACAATTCAGCTCCCTGTTAGGGAGAAGTTTCAGAGAGTTTACCTGGTGGGATGGAAGACCCTTGCTTATGAGGCACTCAAGCTTCTCAGAACTAAACGTATGCAAATAATCTATTTCTCTTTTGGGTGACAGGTTGTACTCAGTTATTTCTCTAGGATTTCATTCACCTCAGATTTTTAGCTCTCGGCTGAAAAAAGACCTTTTGCTTTACTAAGAGGAAACGGGATGAGACAGCTTTGCTTGCCTGGCCGCACAGTTTGCCGGGGCAGAGATGGGAGATCCCAGGTCCTGTGGGCTTGCGCCTGCCTTGGCCATTTTATAAGGACAAGTAGGAGTTTAGAACTTGAGGTCCTCATCTTGGTTAGGCACGCGCCTTAGAGATGTGAGGTTGGTGGGACTGCCACCGGCATCTCTTTGCTGGTCTGACTGCTGAAAATCAAGTAAAATGCCCTTTAATCCTTCTATGGGTCCCCATCCCTAGACTAGAAAATATGACACCCTTTTTGAAAGTCCTTTTTGAATTGTTGTTCAAAACGACATCCATTCATTTACATTTAGCAGGCCCCAAATTGCTCAGTAGTCTCTGCACCTCCTTTATGTATGCATGAACCAAAAGAAAGTTAAGTGACTTCAAATTAGTTGAACATCTGAGATTCTTGAAGCCCAGCTCAATTATTCTAATTTCTCTTTTTGTGGTTCCCATAAGGGGCCTACCTGAGTATGCCAGATGGAACTCTAACTGTGAAGAAAGAAAATTGTCCAGACCAATGAGGCCACTAAAATACAATTCCTACTATGTTCTCTTTTTGCTTTGGCTACCGGGAAGCTCAGAGCCAAACTCCATGCCCTTTTACATCTCTTACATTCCATTTTCTCTTTTCTTCTAAAAGTTTATGGTTTCTTGTTTTTCATTGTTGAGTTAACCACCTTTCTTATGTTCTTTATATTATATAACACAACTTTTTGCATTCAGTGGGTCATAAATATGTACCTAAAATATTAAAACCAAAGTGAAAAAAAATCACATATTTGCCTTTTCTGACCAAGCTGAGGGAATGTATCACCCAATTTAGCCCTGCAATTACCTATAAAGTAATTGCTGTAGTCACAGAAGAACTGAACTAGTCGTTTCAATAACATGAGAAACCACCTCTGTGTTCCAAGAGCAGTTCTGAGACTGAGAAAGTGCTCTATGTCAGATCACTACATTATAGAACTTAGATGGAGCGTAGAGATCATCTCATCGAACTACCTCACTTCACACAATGGGGATGGGACGTTGCAGTTGGAATTAGTGGCTGAACCCAGGACTAGAGTTGGGATCTAGTGACCTGACCGGTGCTCTTTCCATGGCACCGGCTTCTTTACTGTCCACGTAGTATTCTCCTTACCTCCTGTTTCGCCCATCCATCTCTGTCACGGTCCATACTAGTCCATCTAAGTCACTGACCCTGCGTACAAACTTCCAGTAGTTCCCTGCCACTTACAGGTTCTAGGCCCCATCCTCAAGCCGGGCACAGAAGCGCTTCTGCCGGTGCCATCACCTGCGGCCCTCCACATCCTTGTCCTTCCAGCCAGGCCAGCCTCAGGGGGTCGCTCTAGCTCACCTCTGACTTGTCTCACCACATTCTCTCCTCCTGGCTTATCCAGATTCCCTTTATTGAAATTCTTCTTGACCTTGAATAGCAACCTCACTGTTGTCTCTTTCAGGACACCTTCCGGTATGCCAGGTGGACCTTTCCGGCTTTCTGACTCTTTCAGCCGTCTGTTGCTGCGCACTCACCCTTGGTGCCCTCTGGAGACGGAAGAGCTGCCCTAATCGCCCTCCTGGGCCCCCTACACCCAAGGGCTCCCTTAAGGCAGATCAGGCTCTCATTCGCCTCTGGTTCGGAGCTCTGCTGGGTGACTGACAGATGACAGGGCCTGACAGATGCCAACACAACAGACGGCAGCGGAGGAAGGAGCAAGGGCAGATGTCCACTACTAGTGTGTCTCCTGCCACCCTGCTTTATAAGCTCCCAGGCTAATTCGGATGGGAAAAGGCATCCATTAGACATCAGTGAACATCTGGTACTGACCGTGCTGGAAGCTTTAGGGAAGTGAAGATAAAATGCCCACACAGGCCTGTCTTCAGGAAGCCTGTGGTCTGGAGGAGTTAAAGCCCTTGGTTTTGTACAGACGGCCAGGAGGGGAGACAGGTAGGACTAGGAGTGGGGGCTAATGAACAAAGGCAAGTAAAGACGGGCCCCCGAAAGCTGAGGTTGGGGCTCTCTGCTGGAGGAAGCCAGTCTACCACTGGCCTGTGTGGCAGCTCAGATACTTGTCACAGGCCACAGATTATCTGCACTCGGAGTGACAAATATTGTCATGCCTCCCACCCGTGTGCAGCAGCGTAGAGCTTACCGAGCCTTTGTATGCTTGAATACCTCACAATCCTTCAGGACTTTCAACCAGTTCATCATATTCCCATTTTATAGCTAAGGGAATTGGGTCTTCTGGGTTTGAGTTTCATTAATCCGCGTGGTGGCTGTGTTTTGAAAATCCTGATTTGGGCTGTTTTCAGAATCAGAGGTTGTTAGATTTGGAAAATACATAGAAGCCATGGAGCTGATCTCCCATTTCAGAGGAAGCACATACAACCTGCATTGTGTTGAGCATTCTGTGTTGAGCATTCTGTGTTGAGCATTCTGTTTCCTTTCTTCCTTTTCCTTCCTCTCTCTCTTTCCCTCTCAACAAATATTTATTTAGCAGCTATCATGTGTCAAGCACTATTCTAAGTGCTTGGGAGACATCAATGAACAAAAGAGAAAAAAACTCTCCCAAATCCCTGATTTCCTAGAGTTTATAGTCTTGGAGTGAGTGACAACAATATAAGGAAACACGGTAAGCAAATAAATTAATAGTATCTAATACAGTGGTGAGTGCGGTGGAGGAGAAGTAGAGAGGAGAGAGGAGTTCAGCAATGCCCAGGAGCGGGGAGGTGGGTCAGGAAGGCCCACCTGGCACGGGGGGGAGCTGAGAGTAGAGTGGGGAGAGTGGCTGGCCCTGGGCACCCCTGTGGCTGCTCAGAGACCAGAACTCAGGCCTTAGACTTCTTGGTGCAGAGCTCAGCCTTCCTCATTTGTCTCTGGGCATAGGTAAATGTTTCCCATCAGCTTTCTATTCATCCTCCCAAGGAGAAGCAATAGAGTGCAGTATTAACAGTTAAGAGAATAAATCTGAAGTTAGACACCCTGGGTTTGAATCCAACCGCCACACTCACAAGCTCGGGATTGCACAGTCCCCTTGCCCCGACAACACACACATACAAGAGGGGGACGACACCGTCCACCTCATAGGGTTGTCAGGGAGATGGCATCAATTAATTTATATGCAGCACATAGAATAGTGCCTGGCACATGACGGGTGTGATTTAAGTCTGTTAAATAATATAATTTGATGTCGACAGGATCTTTCCTCCCTCTGTTTCTTCAGTAAGTTACTAGGGCAAAGAACCTTAAAAAAAAAAAAAAAATTTGCCTGTAGAACAAATTCACAAGCTTGAGCTTAACAAGAACTTTGCAGACTTTTGTTCCTCAAAAGAGGCCTTACAAAACCTGAAAACGGATACCTTGGAAACAAATGAATGTGAGCTTTGAAGCCTATTTTAAGACCAAGCCTAGGAATTTGAGTGCCGCGGAACATCTACGCCTTCCACAATGGTTTATTAGTTTTCCTTACTTGTAAAGGAAATCTCTTCATAGGCCACTGACCAGGGTTACCTGATCCCTTTTGATATTGACGTATCATGCTACAAGACATTCATCCTGAAACCTTTGACCAGAGAAGTAACAGAGCCTTTTTATGGTCGTAGCACACAGACCTATCGGTACAATGCACATTTGGAGAACACACACAGCACGTACTCCCATGATAGGTTCAGGGGATTTGCAGTAGGATGAGCTCTGAAGAGGCAACACAAAACCTACTTACTTCTGCATTCCAGCAGACGCAAGCTTTTCAGTGGGCATTTGGGTGGGGGAAACAAGCCCATCCTTCACAAGGCTTCAGCTGAATTCTGTGTGTTCTTGTTTGTGTCTTAGGTTTTCACCATCTTCCTGAGGGAAGACAAAAAAAAAAGCAGTCTCTCCACTGGACAAAGCGATGTTCCACACTGACTGGGAGGTAGTCCTGGGTAATAGAAACACTCAGTTTGGA